ACCTCATTTAAAAACTAAAAAAATTTATATTATTAAATAAAAAATAATAAAAATTCATATCATGTGCTTTTTTTCTCATATGAATTATATTAATTCATACAAACATAAAGATCTTCTCATACAATAAGATTTCTTCCCCGCATATTTAAATGGGTTTTTTTTTTCTAGCTCATGCTCTTTAAACTCATATTAATTGTAATTTTTTGTAATAAATTTTTATAAAAAAATATAAAAATAGATATTATTTTTATAACTAAAGTCATTTGAATAACTTTAATTGAATAATTAATAAATTTGAAATTAATTTTTTATATAAATTTATTATAAAAAATAAAATTAATATAAATCAAAGACATAAATTAAACAAAACCCTATTTAAATTTAAAAACTTCAATTTAATTTTTACTACATTATTTAGAAAATTTGGTAATATACTAATGATAGATGCTTGGTTTATTCATATATGCCTTCACTCTATTCCATGTGTGTTGACAAATTGATGCACACGAGAGTGGGCATAATCGAATGGACTAGCCTGCTACCCATGGGCCGCACCACCTTGAGAAAGCAAAGTAACTACCTGACCTTTTTCCTCTGTACATGTAGACCCTGAGCCAATAACTGTCATGCCTTTTCATTTCTCCTAGCTGGCTTATCTTATCATGATAACCTCTTGTTGCGGATGACGCAAAATCAGCCATTGGAGAAACATTCTTTTCATCGCAAAGCTACATTAACGTTCGAAATTGGGTAATTGATTTTGTGAAAATAATTTAGTTTTAATAACATGAAGTATTATAAGTTACGTTAAAACTCTAATTTCATCTCTTTATTTTGGTAAAAAATTACTTTTTAGTTTATTTGCTTAAAAAAAACTCATATTTAATCCTTAAAGTTTGAAATTCGATCCATTTTTAATCCCTCCGTTAAGTTTTGACATTAGATAACAAAAATTCCAAATGAAATGAACCAAAAGAGATTTTTTTTCAAATTAAAAGGACCAAATTGAGGTTATTTTTAGCCCTGTTTTGGTCCTTTTACTTTAAAATTTTTATTATTTAATATATCACATATGTAAAACTTAATAGATGAACAAAAAATAGGCTAAATTTCAAATTTTGGAAACCAAAAAAAAGATTTTTTAAAGTAGAAAGACTAGAAAGTGACTTTTCACCCAAGTAGAAGGACCAAAATGAGGATTTAACCTATAAGTTATACTCTTTTAATTTATTCATTATATTGTATATGATTAATTATTTAATGATAAATAGTAATTATAAACTTATAATTATTATGATATTATAATTATATTATTGTTGTTGATTTTATATTAACGTGCGACTTAACCATCATGTGATCATGATATATATTTATAGGTAACCAGTATAATAATTTTATCAAAAGGTTTATTATTAATAAATTAATACTTACAATAGCAATGTAGATTTAAAGAAGTTTTGAATACAAATTTATCGTGTAGTAAAAGAAATTTATAAAAGCTACCCTACATTATGTGATATGATTTTATTATTAATGAATATTGTCAACAAATTATTTTTCAAGTAAATAAATATTTCCCGTATTGATAACCAAGTCATCTTCTAATCAGATGTACTTGCCTCTAATTAACCTTATAGTTGATGGAAATCAAGCTTGAAAAAGTAAATAGGGCACATTAGCGGCTTAGACACCACATGTACTTGCACACTTAATACTAATTGAAATGATTTAAGTCAAAATCCTCATTAAGGCAATTAACAACTATTTGGGCCAAATTTTACATAGTCCTCAAGTACTTAATGAACTCAAGTTATTAGTACGTAATTACTTTTCACATTTATATATTACTCACAATTACACTAATTTTTAGATGTGAGATGGCTATGCCAAAAATTAATATTTTATCATTAAAGATTAAATCTATTACTAAGTATGGTAGCTGGTCAAGGGATCAAAGTATTGTGGTAAGCGCATAAAAAATATTAATTTTTTTAAATGTACTAAATTAATTTGAGAGTCATGATTTTAAAATTCTTTAAAAATAAAATAATTTTAAGATATATGCAGGTTACCCACCAATCATACAAATAAAAATGAAAATAGGTCAACATTTTAACTTTAGGCTGCTGATTAAATTGCAACAATATTGTATCAAAGTGACCCAATTTCTTAGTCCTGAATTAATGAAAGAATTTTCTAGCTAGCTACTAGAGCTATTTTTGTGCATTGAAACAACTAACATGGAATCCACATAAAAGAATCCCATATTTGATCAAACACACTCATATGTACTGCCCAAGAATCATCAAACCCCTTTCATGCATTGTACCTTCCAATTTCCATTTCTAAGCGACCCCCCTTTTTCTTCCATGCTGCTTTTTCCCTTTAACACCAAAATGTGTCTTTAACTAAAGTGTCTCCCTTTACTTAATTATCTTCTTTATGGTATCTATGGAGGACCTTTGGGGATATATATGATTCAATGGAAAAGGAAGATCGATCCGTTTTATAGAATTAACCAACTTACCAAGGACATGGTTGTCTTCCATTTTTCGTTTTCTAAGCAAATCAGCAGATTGAAGATGTCTATCGTTTTCCCTGTGCCCTCTACTTTTTAAATTGTAGAAACACTAAGTTAGCTTCTTTTGTCCTTGAATCCTCCCATGTCCATTCTTACTCAAAAGTTATATAGGTCGTTTTCAAGGTGAACTTTTCTTCTTTTTTTTTTTTTATCTCTTTTACTTGTCAGATCACATGCATGGCCGGGGAGATGCCACTAATTAGTTAAAGAAGAGATGAAATCTATGTTGAAGAAAACTGGCAACTTTTCACTTGCCCATATAGTCATATGCTGGTACATGTCTCCCTCCCAACTGTACATCTCAGATATACAACGAGATCATGACTTTTGATCATCAATGCAAATAGTACTATTCAATTGAAAACCTACAGTTAATCTTGTGATTAGACTTGTGTAATTAAAAGGATATCTATTTAAGTACTATTGTATTTGTTAATTTGCCATTTTGTATTTCATTAACTCATTATATAAGGTCAGACATATCAGGCTATAAATAGTAAAATTTTCCCCAAACTACTGTCAACTTTAGCTGCTTTTTCTACAACACATATATTATACATAGTGGATTTCTGACGAAGCCAAGGATGTACACATACTTCAATCTTCAAAAGATTTCCTGAAATACACTGGTGGTCTATGTTTTAATTCTATATATAAAATGAAATTTTCCCTGTTATTGTCATGTGAACTCGACTCTGAAAAAGAAACTTTGGGAATGACAAAAAAATTCTGAAAATAAATAAGCGGCTAGAGGTTGCGTGTGCCTTCTTAGTTAGTTTTATGTCTCTTATCTCGGTTTCTGCCTTAAGATATTCCTTTCAACCTAGACAACGACTAGTTAGATTCTGATAGCTAGTTTTTCTAATTAACTTAACCAATATTACATGTCTGGAGAATTTAACTTGCAACACGACAATTAACGATGAGTCATTCCAGCATAAAGCATCACAGATAAGCGTATCATTATCGACCAAATATGAATTTCTACATGTGTGCTAATATAAGTCACTCTTGACTGCCGAAGGGAGTACTTTCTACGTGTACATGACAATGAAGGCGCCGTCTGTTTGTGACTGTTCTATGACATTCTATGAGCAAGTTTCTTAAACGTTTAAGCTGCATGCGTATAATTGTTAAGATATTGTTTGAGATTGAAAAGGATGCCCGAGAGCTAAAAGAGAACTTATCATCAGAATTTCCAAACCATGACTAATTCATTCCTCATCCACTTATACCAAACGTTGTAACTTCAAATATTAAAGGGTCCAAATTACATAAGCCATCCTTTGAATTTTCGTATCAAAAACCAAGGTTGTGCACGCTCTTCTTATTAATTTGTCCCCTCCTCAAAAAGCATTTTTATAACCTTTTCTACTGGATCACCAACGATGACTATTGAAATTTATGTCTAAATAGCCTTTTTTAGAGTAAATTGGCATATTGTCCCATGATCATATTTACTTTCACCAGTTTCACCTATGCATTATATAAAATTTAAATACATGATTAGGTAATTTTTACAAAGTTTTTATTTCAACATGGATAGTTTTTTTTTAACAAATTTAACATTTTAATATATTTGATAATGGATTATGCAATAAAAAATATATTTTTTATTTTTTTTCTTAAATTTCTAAAAAATTCAAATTTAGACAATCGACATAAAGCTTCGAGTTCTTAACACTGAAGCATGCAAATTCCTTTTTATCATTTGATTACAAAAATGCAAAGTAAAATTCTAATCTATTTTATATTTATGAGGTGATCAGTTGGTCGGAAAATTTTGTTCCTTTTTCCCCCCCTCAAAAAGAAGTTCCCTAATCAATTGTAGATAACATATGGAGTGAAAAGGATGATATAAATATTAGGCCACTAGTCTTTTAGATAAAAAGTGAGATGTCATTGAAAATTAAAGTATGCAAACAAAGCAGAATCTCTTCTCTCAATATAATTATTGACTGATTAATCTTTTCACCCCCCACCCAAACGCAAGGATCCCCAATTATTGCCTTCAATATTAAACTTTGTTTTTTTTTTTTTATTTCCCGTCCGGTATTCGGGTTTTGCCCCGACTAATCCGGACTCGACTCGCGTCGTGCACCTGAAAATAGTGGATAAGTCTCGCAATAAAAGCTGCTGCATACACAAAATCTCAAATTCGAAACTTTACTTAAACTGAAACAAGTTGTTTATCACTTGATCCAACCCTCGTTGGTATATTAAACCTTGTTACTGGCATTTCCCCTTTGCTTTTGGACGAAGAAAGTGCGGGGGCAATTTGGTCAAGAGAAGGATCACGAAAAGAGACAAAGGCAATCTTCTAGGCAATCTTAAACCTCCCATGTTGTTTAAAATCCAGTTCTCGGTTAAGAACCCCCAAAGACAGCATCTTCAAGGCAATCTTAAACCTCCCAAACTCCTCCCAACATATTTTCAGACAAGCAAAGAAAAGAATTCCCTTCTCATCTTCTTTAATCTCATTTTATCTTCCCTATATTTTCTTCTCCCCGGTATCACTTTGAAATTCTCTGTTCTTCTCTTCATTTCTCTCAAATGGCAACATTTTTTAGCAGAATTGCCGTGATCATCCCAATCTTCTTTCTCTCTTTATTAGGTACTTAGTAATTAAACATTCTTTTTTTTTTTTCCCCTTAGTTTCAATTTGCATCTGTATTTCCTTATGTCTTGACAGATTATGGGTTGGTTAATTTGTAGGAGTTAGCTCTGTGGGGATCAACTATGGTCAGCTCGGAAACAATTTGCCATCTCCGGAGAAAGTTCTTAATCTTCTGAGCGCTTCCAAGTTCACAAAAGCAAGAATCTATGACACCAATCCTCAAATTTTGACAGCATTTGCTAACTCCAGCATTGAGCTTATTGTAACGATTGAAAATGGGATGCTACCAGTTTTAGTGGACCCTCAACAAGCTCTTCAATGGGTTATTACCCACATCAAACCTTACTTTCCGGCCACAAGGATCACTGGAATTGCCGTCGGAAATGAAGTATTCACGGGTGACGACACCAGCCTGGTCGGATACCTCGTCCCTGCCATATTCAGCATCCATGGAGCTCTAGCTCAACTAGGTTTAGACAGGTACATTAATATTTCTGAGACAAAAAAGGTTAATTAATATGCTTAGGTAGTCATTACAAAAATTTGATTTCTGACTTTGATTACCATGCTCTTGTTGACAGATATATTCAGGTCTCGACACCATGCTCGCAAGCAGTTCTTGAGCAATCCTACCCACCTTCAGCCGGTAGTTTCAAACCGGAGGTTACAGGAATCATGTGGCAATTCTTACAGTTCCTGTCGGAAACTAATTCTCCGTTTTGGATCAATGCGTACCCATATTTCGCTTACAAAGGGGATCCCGCCAACATTTCTTTAGACTACGCGCTTCTCAAGCCGAACTCAGGAATGGTCGATCCAAACACAAAATTACACTACGACAACATGCTCTACGCTCAAGTAGACGCTGTCATTTTCGCCATGGCTAAGATGGGGTACGATGCAATCGAGGTAAGGGTATCGGAGACAGGATGGCCGTCCAAAGGGGATCCCGAGGAGGTCGGTGCCTCAGCACAGAATGCTGAGCTTTACAACCGAAATCTGTTGAAACGGCAGCATAGTAATGAAGGGACACCATTGAGGCCTAACATGAGATTAGAAGCGTATTTATTTGCTTTGTTCAACGAAGATTTGAAGCCCGGACCGACATCGGAAAGGAACTACGGCCTGTTCCAACCGGACATGACAATGGCTTACAATGTGGGACTCTCTGACTTAGGAACAGCCTCAGCTTCCATTTCTCTTACGTCCTCTGGAACAAAGGTAAAAAAAACATAGGTGGTTTTTTTTTTTCCTTTAAAAGAAAATTCATCTATCTAAAGAAAATTCACACAATAAAAAAAATGTTGTATGTATGGTGGAGCATATAGGCAAATACAATATTGTAAATTGTAAAAAATGCATTTTTTATTGAATAATAATATTCTAATTATTTTTTTGAATTCCATTTCTATTTAAATGGGATTTATTGTGAAACAGGCAGCGGTGATCGAATATCAAAGCTTGGTGTACTTGATGTTTGTGTATTTGCTGACATTCCAAGTTTTTATGAGAAGAAGACAATATTAAGCAAATGGAGTTCATGTAAATATTAATTTTTTGGTAAGAAACATTGGGGTATTTTTTCTACTTCAAAATAATAAAGGACCATAGATCAACAAGACCAAAAGTACCCCAATTTTGCACCAAAACTTTAAAAACTCCTCAGAATGATGATCCTCTTGGCTTCAAATGTTCAAACCATCATTAGCTTGGGTATAACTTTCATAGTTAATCAATCAATCGCACACACGATGCATCAGTAGGGAAATGAAGAGGTTATTATTATTGTAATTGTACTAAATTTCTCAATGAAATTATACATTTTCATGTAAGGAAATATTTATGTAGTTAGAGAGTATTATTATTATTATTATATGTAAAACCTTGTATTGGCTGCAAAGAAAGCCCTCTTTCTCTCTCGATTTATCACTTTTGGACGTGGAATCCATAACTGTAGTTAGACATAGAAAGATTTTTGGGGTTTGCTTTCCCCTCTTTCTCTCCCTTCATCTCTTAAAAAAAAGATAAATTATGGAAAGTTAATTTATAATAGAATATGTAAGGGATAATGAAGGGAACAAAGGGTATAAAAGGTAAGGCAGTGCTTCGCTCATTTATTTTATCCTGAACTTGAAATTGGGCGGCCAAGCTTTATTCCCTTGGCCACACATACATAACCGTCAGCATTATTCATGGGCCATCCTTCTCGCAATTAAAGGAGCTTTCCTGCTTTTGGTTTTTAACTTTTCTTTCTCTATGGGAACTGGGAAGACAATTCAAGCTCAGCAATTTTTATATCCCTATGGGGTTGTCTTTCACTTACCGCATCAGCCAAACGTGGCGCACATGCATGTAACAATCCACAAAGGGACCCCCACTATGAATTTCCTCTTCTTATTCTTCTCTTTTTGTGCTTTGGGGGATTAATTAAGAAAAAAAAAAAAAAGCAAAGGATTTTTAAAGACCCTACAAATTAAGCATTATGAGATCTTGTTGGGTGTTGAGTCAATATCTTTGAACCTTCTACTCAAAACAAAGTCTTTCTCAAAATCCCTTTCAAAGAGAGAAGTTTGTTGTTTTTGTTTTATGGCTTTTTTTGGGTCGGTGATGACATGTCATGTTTAATTTGGTGGAATGCATCTCTTTTTGGAGGTCCAATATTCTTGTGTATTAGCACGAGCCTATGCTTTTCAATTAGAGGACAAACAAGGGTCACCCTATAGTAATCTTGTGTGTGTGCATACCATTCTCATAATTAATGTTCAGACAAATTCCACCATCAACCCCTTGGAAGACACTTTAATGCATTAATTTAACTAACTACTACTACATCTGGAAGTTATATCTGGAAGTTATGATTAGATTTAATTCTATTTGGACGTACTAGTCTCATTTACTTTTGTCCAAATCATCAATCAAATAAACCTAACCAAGTTAGTACCAATTCCCGAAATTTTTAATAATGATGACCCCATATTTGAGCATATTGACTGGTATCATGGGCAGGTGTCCCTCCCCTGAAATACATATCTGCTATAGATACTCAAGGATCTGGGTCCAGACTTTCCAGTTCTGCTTTTATACCAAGGAGGAGAAAAAAGAAAGGAAAAGTTTTTTTTTTTTTTTTCGTGGAAGGAAAAGATTCATATATAATTTGCATTATTTTTGTACTACCAAAACCTTAAAGTCAGTATTATTGGCTTTTTAGCATGTGATTTGCCAAAGCTGATGAACTTGGGTTCTAATTTAACAAAGTTTGAACATTTTCTCTCAGAGTTATTGATTCATCAACAACCGAGTCAAAAAGAGTAAAGGAAGATTCTATATTATTTATATTCATCTCCGCCGATTAAAGTGAAAAAGAAATCAATTACTAGCAGCTTCTTTTCTTATACCTTGCCACGTCGATACAATCAGAAAAAAAAAGAAAAAAAACCGGAAGAACTTTATCATGATCACTAAGAAATTTTCATCATTCCACATGATGTTTAATCAGACTGAAATTTAAGCATATGTTTTTTTTTAATGATCAAAATGCTTTTAATTCAAGTTTTATGTATCTTAAAATTATTTTCTTGTTATATGATCTTAAAAGTATAATTTATATTGATTTAATGTATTTAAAAAAATTAATTTTTTTT